TCCTCAATTTCAACACTTAAATAAGCAGAAGGGCTCAATAGAAAGGACATCTTAATCTACAAAAATTATCGTCAAATTTCAAAAATCCCATCTTTTAACATAAAGATTAACACATCTCAATAGATGGTGTTATTTACATTGACAGACGCTAATTAGCAGAAACAGAACTACAAAAAAAATAGAAAGAAAGAAAGGGCCTAATCATGAAGTGCAGAATTCAAGATGGAAAAAAATGATTCAGTGATGGTTGCCAGCGTGTTGTCTACCTTCTTCCCTAATTTTCATAGCACGAATGATTTCTATCCTTGTACCCTAATTCTCACGCCTGGTGTTCCTTCTACGAGGTGCAGCAGGATCTTCATTCTGCTCTTCCTTCTCCTTTGAGCTTTCCTGATTATTGGAAGTTTCTACAGAATCGGACTTTTTTGTCTGTGTCCTTGTCTTTGCAGGAACTTTAGTCTACATTCAACACTCTAATATTTAATGAACGGTATGTGAAATTATGGCAAGATGGCATATATGGTAAGGATGACACAATAGTATTGAACAATATTAAGAAATAAGGTGTGCAAATCTTATCAGTAAGTATCCATCTGTTTAACAAACATGCCCCATTGGTATGGGAAATCATATGCATTTTAAGACAACAAAAGAATAGGGAGACTCACCGGCTTTTTCCCACCAAATACAAGCTTCAATAAAATTGTGAAGAAGACAACAACAAAGGAGAGTAGGACTCCAATTGTGAGGTTGGGCTGTTTCTTGGCCTTTTCAAGAAACTCCTGCAGGGAAACAGTCTTAGAAAATTGCAACATCGGTGACAACTTATTTCTGCGAAAGCAAAATTTTGTGCTGGACTTACCAAAAATTTTACCTTGTGATCGCCCAAGAAGGGGAGGTCGGCAACCTTGTAAAGGTAGTAGAATACCACTTTCTGAAATAATTAACCAGAAAAAATTCTGATTCAGAAATAGCTGTGAGTATAAAGTGTGGAAAGGAGGAAAAAGGGGAATGCCTCACTAATTACCTGGACACCCTTGAGCCCTTCAGAATCAGCAGCTTCCTCA